AGTTTAATCTTTAAGACAATTAACCTCGTATACTGTATATACAGTAAAAAGACATAACAAGATGAATAAAACCAGTGGAAGAATGTACTGGTTTATGATAGCTTTATGAAACGAGAGGAGAATATATGGGGTTGTCCACATCAGCAAGTAGAATCGCACATCGTTATTATATCAGACGTTGTTACAGCCTGAGCACTGAATATTTCAAAGGAAGAGATGGTTTGCAGTTTGGACTCTTATTTCTATTAGGAACAAAATGTTTTGGAAAGTGGGAATACACACTGATTTGTGCTTAAAAAGAGAAAGAGATGATAAAAGTAAGAAACTTCATTGTCATGGTGTGTTGTCTATGGTATCCTACCACGAAACTAGGATTTAAAATGGAATAGCCGTATTGTCTTGGTTAAACCTACTTCTCTAGAATAATGTTTGAATCATTCTTACATTACAGATGACATTTTTTGTTTTCAACATCTTAACGTGTATATGAATGTTCCACGCCTGTTACAAAATGACCTTCTTCATGACATTAGTGTAAACGGGAGTGTGAAGAAATGTTGTGAATAGACATTCAAGAAAATGGCAGGATCTCAGACCGTCCACCTTCACATCAACGTCAGGTCAAAAGGATATTCATATCCGGTTGATGCATGTTAGGAATTGGTCTCAGCGAGCACGTTTGACAGCTCAAACATCCCTCATTTATGACAAGGACTGTGATGAGGTTTTTTTTCCTTAAACATTACATCCGACCACTTCTGATGTGATCATTTCATAGAGATGTACTCGGTATCTGATTCCCACTGGGCAAGATTGGCATGCAATGTTCTTAACATGTGATTCATGGTTCCATTGTCACAGTGATGGTTGTGTGCTTGACGATAACATTTGTGTTTTGCAACGTTCAGATGTGCAACGGTTTCGGACGTTACACCACAGACCACAGGAGCCAGTTGGTGGTAATCAATACCAATCAGACAGGAATTAGTTCGTTCACAGAATATTCTCTATTTCTGTTATCACATAATCCGTTTGGAGGTGAATGGGCACCACGTCACATTCAACAGGAGGTCATGCAGCCTCCTGTCGTACGTTTAGTCACGTGACTTCATGACACAACAGAATATTCTCATACATTTCTGGCCAGATCTCCAGTAGAGTGAGAGGAAACGAATCTTGAACCGACTTAAATCTCATTGTGCCATTGGCAAATAAAGTCTTCTGAAACTTTTAATCGGGATTACAATATTCTAGGCTATAGATCAGCTTTCAAAACGTATATGGCAAATACAGATAGATGGCATTTCCAAATTTGATACATCTGTGACCAAAATGATGTTCGTTACAACTCCCTATTTTAACTTGTATCACGGGTTTGTTCAGTTTTAAATCTTTGGGGTTGGTTACATTGGAAGGGCAAGATACAGTGACCTTTTCGCGTCCCCTTAGTTGATCAGCACATTGATGGAGATCATAACTGCATCCTCATGTTATAGGCGGAGAGGTACATGTCTGACTCACTTTGAAAAGGCATATTCGATTTTTTTACATATTTGTCTTAATAACAAATCAAAATGAAATTAAGTTGTTTGGGGTATTTAAGCATGAGATAATAAAATACAGCGATGTCGTCAGTCATTCAAGATGGACTTGACCAAAAAAAACTAACGTTTAATGATGTTTAAAAACACTATGGTAGTTTATGTATTCCCTGAATGTTTAAGCATAAAAGGCCATGTCAAATGTAATGACACCTCGTAGGCATCCCGCACATAAGGGGAGGAAGGGAAGAGGAACCAAGTTCTTGGAACGTTACTGGCTGTATTGAGCCAGACAGCTGTCGCAAGCCGTTTTCGTGTGCACAAAACGACTATTGCCCAACTCTTGACAACCTTTTTGACAAACAGCCCGCCTCGTTCGTACCCAATGATCGTTTCGGGCCAGCAGCATTGGAGAAGACTTTAGTACTTTCTTAAGATGAATCCATTTCATACAAAATAAACCCATAAGTAGTGGGTCCTGTTTCTGCGTATATTGTGGATGGAAGAGAAGACGACACAACAAATTTGATGATGCTTGTGTTCATGAGCGTATTCATGAGCTTTTTGGAGACGGCAGTGTGTTGATTAATGTACATTTTAGGAGTGTCATCATTGTCATTAATGGTAACTTAAATGCTCAACGTCAGGTGGTCAATGATATGTGGCCTCTACTGCCGCCACACCTGGGAGGATTTCAGCATAATAACGCCTGCCCACACACTGCATAAATCATACAGGTAAAGTTAACAGACCATCATTATTGTTTTTGGAATGGCTTGCAGTTTCCCCTGATATGAACCAGGCAGGAAACATGTCGGATTGCCTCGGACAACCTATCAGCCAGTGAGTGAACGAGTGAGTGAGTGAGTTGGATTTAACGCCGCTTTTAACATTATTCCAGTTATATCACGGCATGTCAGCTTAATGTGGGAGGAAAGCCCGAAGTGATGCAGGTCTCAGACGTTTACCACTTCGGTGAAACCCACGCGCACGGGTATGGTGCTGACAAACCTAGAAACATAATCGGGGTGAACCAGGATTCGAACCCACAATGATTCTGGCGTGTCAAGGGTACGCAACTCTGCACAGCGAATCGCGGCGCCTTAGACGACTGGGCCACCCGTGCCCCGTATCAGCCACAGGCGTTCCCTCCTTGAACTCCGTGAAGATCGGGGGAAGAATAGGTCTTCAGCAACCCATGCCTGCCTTAAAAGGCGACTATGCTTGTCGTAAGATGCTCATGATATCAATCACATGATTGTCTGGTCCAGATTCGATTATTAACAGACCGCCGTCATAGCGCTGGAATACTGCTGAGTGCGGCGTAAAACAACAAACCAACCAACCAACCCTCCTTGACCTTAGAAAGAGGAATGAAGAAACATTACAGATGCCTGCATGAGTGGTCTTGAGATTCAGTGTCTCGCCGATTTACGCATGTCTTCGTGCAAATGGTGGTCACATCATACACTGACCTCTTCATTTTTGGGTAGTGCTGTAATCCCCGAAGCTGCTGCTGGAACTGCCACTATCATTTATCAGTATTAAAAAAAACATGTAAACAAAAACAAAATTTATTGGCACATACAAAAACTTAAAGAGAATGGGTGAAACATGACAGCCATGGAGTGAACTACATTACGTGAAAAAAAATATATCTGTTGTACCCGAAACGTTGATAATACCTGGAATCATGTTCCGTTTTAATTTAAGCTGCCACTTAATAGCAATTTTATGTTTTTTCGGTAACTTTAGAGAATTATCTCCCTTTGGTTTTACCTGCGGTCCAACACAGTTGGAAACATGAAGAAACTCGGTAGAAGGTTAAACACACGTATGACCTGCTTAGGAGACGCATTAAGCAACACAGATACAATTTCATGTATCCGCGTGATTTTGTAGCAGGATTAAACTTTTGACACGAATGACTTTAATTCTTTATGTTCTCACACGAACATTAAACGAGAAACAATCCTTAAAACGATCGCTCCTGTTATACTTGTGGAAAACATACCAGGAACACAGGATACATATTCTGTACAATTGCTCCAATACGTCACAAAACTGCATTACAATCATATAGAATCTATATTCATGCACAACACAGAATGTAAGAATCCAAGGATACTAAGGAAGCTCGAGCGACAAAAGAAATCGGTGACAGCGTGTGGAAAGCAAAGAAAGACAACTATCACTTGAGTTATGTCATACTTTGGTGTTCTCAGGCAAGTTCACACTGTCATTTGTTTAGTGTGCCAACATTGCAGGCCTCTACACTGAAGTCACTAAGTGTTGAAGAAAGCTCCAGGGAATTCCGCATCTGAGGCAAGATTGCTCGAATTCCTTCAATATTGGTGCATGATTTGAAAGGCTTCCCAAGAACACCCTAGACATGTTCAAATGGTGACACGCACGTTGACACGTGTCTCTGGGGTGTTTTTTGATTACGTCAATGCACTGAATATAACCAAACGAACGGCTCGCCCTCTGTCATTTGCATTTAGGCGTGGCATGGTGAAATTTCTTCAGATCGATCCAAAGATGTATTTATTTCTCAACTCTGTTATTCCGAAGATTGCTTAGAGTCATCATGGTACGGGAATGGTTATCTTGCCTTTTATTTTCGAATTGCTGAAATACCTCTCCTGGTTGAAAAAAGAGATTTGTAAAGTGAAATAGATCCACATCACAAAAACTTTTGCTTTTGAGTATATTTCAAAATTACGTTTCCTGAGAAACCAAATAGAAAAATATGTCGATCTCTCATATTTCATAAGATTGTTATACGTTTGATTGAAATTATATCTGTATTTAAATATATTTTCGATTTTCATATGTTGTTAACAGAAGTTAATACTACCCTGATTTGTGTACTGTACAATTTCATAAACAGATACATAGTCCGTTCCCTCACACCATGACACAAACCTGTAAATGTCAGACTGATAAATGCGAGTGGGTAGGTTCCATGCATACCCAAATTGGACACACAGGTGGATATAAACAATGTGGGTGATAGAAGGTACTATTTTATAGATTAACGAGCACAAGAGGCTTGACCTGCCAATGACTACTGACAAATTCCCCAAAACAACTGATTTCACCTCATGCGTTTCGGTTTACAAGCAGTGTCTTCTGAGTTGCGTTTGTTGTAACACATACATGGAGCATAAAATAGCCATACTTTATCATAATATTATTTTCATTCAGAATAAGTTATTTGCTAACCTTGACGACCATCTTTATTCATTTCACTCAGTTGGTATGTGTACACAGGTAGTAGTACAGTGAGGGTATTATTGAAAAGGTATTGTTTGATCTCACTACCTGCATAGCTGAATGTCAAGGAGTCAATCATTTTAATGTTAGAGATATATGTGCAGTCATGTTTGGGTGGAGATAAGTAGGTATAACTATATGTGTGTGTGTGGGGGGGGGGGGGGGGGGGGACAAAAGAAAAGCACAACTGCACAATATCAAGACACAATTAATTAAAAAGGGCTTCACAAATAATGCATGTGGTATCAGTAGGCTGGTCTACGTCCCATAATTCTGTTTGATATAATGGTTTTGAGATAAATTTAAGTTTACAAGTTGTCACATTTATGTGAACTACTAAGGATTACTTTGTAATATTGTATTAAACATGATGGTTAGATGTCAAGATGGTGTACATATCACTACATTGATTGAAAACAGTCTGTGTTTTAAGTCTTCTGTCATTCAGAATGAACATCTTCCCGACGTGTTCTGTCTGTCAGGAGCAGTTTACCCTGAAAGGACCAGTTCCTTACTTACTGCCCTGTCTACACGCTGTGTGTGAGACGTGTGTGACATCTGCAGCTGGCGGTGTGATATCATGCTCTACATGTCAGAGGGAGGTCAACCTCACAGACACACGCCTCCAGGAGGATGCAGTCAGACAGAGGGAAATAAACCACCTGACAGTCAAACATCGCCCCAGTGAGCTCCTCTGTACAAATAACGATGACGGCAACCATGCTGTGTGTTGGTGTCAGGATTGTGAAGACTTCCTCTGCGAATACTGCCAGAACATGCACAGCAGCGTCAAACTTACCAGGAAACATGTACTTCAAAACTTCAGTGACATGGAACCGACTGTCTCGAACATTCCGACCTTTTGCAGTATTCATAAATGCCATCCAATGTATCTGTTTGATAAAAGCTGCAAGAAGTTACTGTGTGCGAGGTGTAGGATTGAAGACCATGCTAACCACCACGTTGAGACGATTGATTCTGCTGCTGATAATGTAACAAAATATTTGGATGATCATAAGAATGCTCTTTCAAAGTTACAGGCTCGCCAGCAATCACACATGGAGAGCATCAAGCAAGGAAGCGAATCCACCGACAGAACACACTACACTTTGAAAGAAAGTATCGGCCACACATTCCAAGCACTGAGATCACAACTTGACCAAAGAGAGAAGGAACTTCTGGTCGATCTTGAAAGTCATACGATGGGGACCAAAGAAGCTCTACATGAACGTCTTACTACCTGTGCAGAAGATTGGAAGACAAGCACTGGGGTTTTAGACTATATCGCCAAAGTCCTCCTCTATGCCTCAAACTCAGACATCCTGGATCTCGAGAGTTGTGTACGGAAGATGACGCAGATATGCCTGGACACCGGTATACCACAAACACATGACGTACCTACAGCTATCTACAACACCAGCAGCCTGTCAAAACTTAAATCATGTATATCAGGATTTGGTACTATTTTGACGTGTGAAATGGATGGAGAATATGTTAAAGGTATTTATATGTGAAAGTATCTGTTGGTCATTCGATCGTGGCGCATTCTCTTACAACCTCTTTCACATGGTTATACAATTTGAGATCAGGTTTGTTTGGCGATAAGTAATGCATTGTTGTAAAATTGTCAATTTTCCAGTTGTTAGACCAGCCATGTTAACCTTTGGATCATGTCTTTGTTTCAGACAAGGATACGCAGACATACGACTTTATTGCCGACTTGGAAATGAAACACAAAATGGTGAGTGTAGTCAGTGGTGATACATAATCAATTCGTGTCTGCAAATTGCAGAGAGCAACAGTTCATTAACTTTTTTTGTTTATTATATTATCTTAGTATGAGGTGATTAGCCAAGAAATCAGTTCGTATAAAACTAATTTGTGAAATCATTAAATTACTACACAAGATAAATGAGTTATTAATAAATTGTAGCTCTAGTTTAACAAGCACAACATGCAGGTAATGGAATGGGTCAAAACAGTGGCAGTAATAATGAGTAACGGGCCCTATTACATATTTCGATGGACCCATGGGCTCCGTACTTCAATCACTAGTGGTGTTGGAAGCTGCAGAGCTTTGACGTTTTCAGACAGGTATCCAATCCGCACTATGCAAGTAGATAAGACACAAGTCAGGTCGTTCAAGACTACGTATCACCATAGTATTGCTCGTATTACGGTACAGCCAGGCTTTTAGAGCAAGTCACAGAACTTCTGAACCACCAACCTCTCCTCATGTCAACAACAAACAAGGGAGGTAACTCTAACTTAAACTTCTGGTGCAGATTGGCCACTGCAGTGCTCGATATTTTCCGAACCACATAATCATTTACTGCTTCAGACATTCACTAGAAGTAAACTGTCAGGTTACATCATGTTGAAGATTTTTGTTGCAGGACATTACAGAACTGAAGATGAAAATTGATGCAGATGAGAAACATATTGAAAGCCTTAAACTGCTTACAGACCAGCTGAATGCTGAAATCAACAGCTTGAAATCGGTTTGTTTATTAACCTATGCGTGTTGATACCTTCTACCCTTATATTCAGTGAGTGAGTGAGTGAGTATAGTTTTACGCCGCTTTTAGCAATATTCCAGCAATATCACGGCGGGGGACACCAGAAAAGGGCCCTTATATTCAGAATTGTGTTATAATGTTGAAATCACAAGATGTCATCACATTACTTAAAACATTTTACAGGAGATGCTTAGTTAATGCAATGACCTCCTTTCCTTCGTTTTGAGTGAGTGAGTGAGTGAAGAGTGAGTTAGTGAGTGGTCTCTATATCAATGGCTTATTCTCAACATAGATAGTATACGTTCATTAGCGAATTATTGAACACACACATTAATGAAGGCAGACCATGACAAGCAAATATTTGTTATATATTCAGCGCATTTACGAGAAGGAAAACGTCGAGAAGAGAGCCCCCCAAATCAAGGATTTCTTGCGTGGTAAATTTCTTCCTTGTCCTCCACTAATCATGCACCTAAAATTAATCTGACGACATAACATAACAATTGTATTAATATGGTAAACATGTACGAACGATATCCTTACATAACTGACATATCAAGCAAGAAACTGTACATTGATGTTGCAGATTTAGCCAGTGAATACAGTGTTCATCTGCTGAATCCAGGAGCTGTAGACACATCCATGCTGTTGAAATGTGAGTACATTTATCATTTACCCTTTTACGATTTAACGAATGATGTACACATTTGACTAAGTAAATAGAGGTTATCACGCGAGTGTGTTTGGGGATGGTAAATATCCTGCGTTAGGAATAAACATTCTATTTAGCAAGCCTTGGCGAGCTAAATACATAGTGTTTATTCCTAATACAGGATATGTACCATCCCCAAACACACAAGCGTGATAACCTCTTTATGATATAATGTCATTCTTTAATTCTGTGCTTCAAAATCGCTTTCCCTCTCTCGAAACATTGCGAGTTTTCCTGGAATGCGCGCATTAATATTTATTACGTCACAGGGTAAGTGTTGTGTCAATCGGACAGTGACAGTAGCCAATATAGTTGCAACTGAAATCTGTTTCTTATACAGTGGCGAAGCATCATATACGCAAAACAACAATTGTTTTTAATTGCCTTTCGCGGCAATCCATCGGTCTGTCCGCTAGAGTAACTGCCCTTTGTCAAAGGGAAGCTACTCTTAACCTAGTCTATGAGACGTCACGGCCACGGTCAGACGTTGTTGACAGTCGGACTGTCATGTTATAATGATAAGAAGTGTAGTCAGATGTACACACAGCAAAAAAACGAAACAAGGTAACAATTCAAACATATTTCCGCCAAATCCAACTATATTAATTTGTGGAGGAGGTTTCAAGCCGCAGAGGTCTACAAGCACACATATGGCTACTGTGCCTCGTGCCCTCGCCAAATTGTTTCGAAATTTATATCTCCAAAGTTGCCAAAACTTATAAAATGCCTTAGCTATGTCACAGTTAGACACAGATTTTCAGTATATAAGACTGTTCTTTTGATAATGATAGCAAATATCCCTGTCGTTTATCCAGATTCCCGATGATTAATTCTGACTCGATCGCCGAATGACAAGGGCGACGCCATGTTTGTTTATAAACAGTGAAAGTAGTCCCTACTTGACCTTTGATATTTGCATCTCTATCCGCATCCGTTTTTATCCGTTGGCTTTATCCTGCCGAGAAACCTACCTATTATATGATAAAAACAGAATATTAGTGTAGTCCATACGTGTCTTGAGCAATGAAGGCCGGGTAGTGGCCATGGGTGAGTGTGTATCGCTGTGTCAAAGTGACCCATATTCATTACTTACAGCAAGATGTGATATAGACACAATATTGGTGGCAGTTTAGCACGAGATATTAACATACAAGTTGCACCAGATTGGAAATCGGGAACCAGCATGAGGCTCGTTGCAGTCTAATTTAGATAACGACAGATTTGAAACTTGAGCAATCTAATGAACATTTGTATATTTGTATACAATTGTATATTGTATATTTAATCATACTGTGTGAGACTGGGTATAAATGTTGACTCAATACTTTACCTACTTTCATTTAGACCTGTCCCCTTTTGCCACCAAGAGAATACACATAAATAATCTAACCTTTCTGCAATAACAACAAGCACGATTCCTTACTTGTAAGATAAAATCTGCCAAACCTTCCGGAAGTAGAATGAAAGGTTGATGCATTTGACACTGGAAACCAGTTTAACTTGCCAGCAGGAAAACACAGAATAGATGACATAGAACTGTTCTGAAAATGTCAAACGTGTCGTTTAAAGAATACAAAGTGATTTCAACTGCGTCAGCAATACGTTTTTAGTTTTGGAAGGTGAGGGGATTGGCAGAAATCCCTAAATTCAACACTGGATCGCTTTTTCCCTTAAAACGTCAATGGTATAGTTATCAGGTGAGAATATAACAAGGTGATTTTAACAACGTCAGCAACAGGTCTTTACTATTGGGGGTGATACTGAAATTTCCAATAACGAAACGTCTGAACATTGATGTTAAAAGACCCTCTGAAAACTTTACATGTCTGTATATAAATAGCCCTGTGTCTGGGGACATGTAAAGAATTACAGGAATTGTAAAATTGAGGGTCAGTAGATCAAAAACAAAGAACCTGCAACATGGAAATTATAATGATAAAGTGTATTGATTGACAACGTATCATTATAGATTGTTTATGAGCTCACAGACACATAAATACAAGAAAATGTTTACGCAATGTGAGTTCTAAGACTGATTGCATATTTACTTTGTTTCACTTGGACAACATAAAACGAATCAACAAAGGAATAACATCCTTTACTTGCACAAGGCCTGTTTGTGACTCAGTCTGTTTTACTGTGCATAGTTGCTCGTGCGTTTATCAGGTTCGTATGCAGTGGCATTGGCCGAATAACTTAGCGGATTTTGTTTACTGTCAAAACTGTGGCAACTATACAGTCAAGACTCGTTAATCCGACACCTGTTAATCCGACAGCCGATTAAATCAGTGCTTTTTAGGCCTGTTAATCCGCACTCCGACTCCGACAAACCAAATTTGCAACGAATTGAAATCACTTATTAAAGGGGCACTGATCTAACGCAATTCCCAATGAGTACCCGGATGTAACGCAGAAATCTAGACTAGTTCGCGACCTCTGCTGCGCCATTCGTAAGCGCATTAGTCATTTTTATGGGTAGTAATAAGAGCGTATGGTCACATTGATCAACAAAATGAAATGCAGTTTTCGAGATAATAAGGAAATGTAGGTATCTTTGTGGGTAGCATCGGTAATGGTGACGAAGTTTTGATAAGTCACTTGCTTGGTAAATGTTGCGATTTTTGTTAACACTATTTCGACTTGCAACACAAAGTAAATATTTCACCTGAGCATTTCTTTTTTTATAGTGTGTATATTATTTTACTGTCAAAATGTGTAACAAATTTATCAAACGTCTAAATATTTAGTTATTTTACAAAGTGACTAAAAAACATTTCCATCTGTATTATTATGATAACGAATTCCAACATTTTGAGGTTTAATGTCATCACCAAGAGACTGCAAATGTTACGTTGAAAAGTACATTTCTATGTTGTTTGGCTTCTAATCCTACATAATAATCTGTAATGTTTGTAGGCCCTTTTGATCGCCTAAATCAATCTGGACAGATATTTTCGTCAAAATGACTGAAATATTTACACATTTTATAAATTGCCTGAGAGAATCACATTTTACAAATTGACGGTAATATATACACGCTTACAAAGGAAAAGACCTGTGAAAACAACGTCTATCGCGCATTGAAGAATTTCCCAACCAAGACGTAGAGAAACAAGAACTAATCGGTTCAAATGAAGGAAAACAAAATGCAAATATCATAATTACAACCTACCAAATGTATGTGTATAAATTTTAAGCAGCTTCCTTGTTCGAGGAATGTTTCCGTGAATATCCACACAAAGGAAGAATATCCCACTCGTCTGCAGCTGTACAAAGAAACTTATTCGATGTCACGTGTCTCTGTAACCATCAAATATTTTAAAAGATATATATCGTTTCGGGATATTATAACCCGTGTTCGTTTCTCAACTGATCACTTGGATTGTTTCAGGTGTTTCACATAGGTGTCAAGTCTCAAAGGTCGGCTGAGAAAGCCCACGTGACAACTATTTTCATAACGTCCACGGTTCCTAAAACATACATTGAGTGATTGATAACAATAATCAATCAATCAACGTATTATCAGTTAACCCTTTGAACAAAGTATGTTGTTTTTACATCGGCACTTCACGCCATGATATGAGTGTATTCCCTTTGTTTTAGTAAACCTACACATGTAAACACTCACTTTTGACATATCCACTGTGCAAGATAACAGTGATTAATCAATCAACGTTTTTTCTGTTAATTCTTTGACGACTATGAACGATCCGTTGATTTACAAAAAAAGTAAATCAACTGATCATTCATCTCTTGCTGGGCTGCCACGTGCATATTACACAACACACATTTCATCTCACTTCAAACCTGGATTTAGATTGAATTATTACCCCAGACACAATAAATGCCAAATGGGTACCTTTGCCAGGTAATCTAAGTGGTGCTACCACTAATTGTACCTGTAATAAATTCATTAACTGAGCATCAAGTGAATGGCGACAAATACACAAGTGTAGGGTTATACGAGAAAACGTGGATGACAACAAGGGAGTAGTAATCGTATTATCGACGCAATCGGAAATCCGAAAATGCTTTCACTGCATGGATACTTTGTTTAGTAATAAACTATAACCATCTGGGGTATTTCCAAATGACGACATCCGATGAGCTCCGTCGTTCTTTTTGTCTGTTTGTTTAGGCTGAGGAAATTAATTAACATGCGCCCTTTGTCGAAATCTTTATAGATCACAGTTAACCAATCAGTGTTTATGCAAAAATGCGTCAAACAAAATATTGCCTCCAGCCTCAAAGTTTATTTAGCTGTCCTTGCAGACGGTAGCCCAGTCTCTGGTCACGCTCAGCTGCGTTGCGTATCATCCGGCTACTCACGGGGGAAAAAACAATAACAAAGGCGACAACCAGTCCGGGGAAATGAGTCTCGTTCATCCGACACGGCAATCAACGTACTCCGTGGTCATCTGCCCGCGAGTTTATAGCCCCGTGTGTTGATGCGAGACGAGTCGGCGAGTACCTGCATATTTCAACGGCTGCAGAGATACACTAGCTTACCAATAAACAATTATTGCTTTAAATAAACACAACAGGATTGATCACGTGCATAAACTACCTCAATCTAATTAAAATCGGATACAAGTTCCCGCTACCGCTGAGGACATCCCATTACACGTCACGTCAGAACGTTTATGAGTTCCTATTTACTACGAGTAACACACACTGCAAACACGAAAACGTCGTTTTTTTCCGTATATGGTCATTGGACGGAAAAACGACGTTATTTGGACGTTTTCAAACCATCGTTTTTCCGTCCAAATAACGTCGTTATTTGACATCGGAATTTACTGGGAGAGAACGATAGCGTTAAGCTCCTCCCTTTCTTGATTGACATTGTCAATCAAGCAACAGCGTCTACCGGTATTTCTACTTCTCAGTTTTCATTGGTCAGTCCCCGCGTGTTAGATTACAGGCCCGCGTTTGACGCTGCA